GAGAGCTCAGAAAGTCCCGAGCGGGCAGCCGGCCGTCCGGCCGTCCTCGCCCTCTTCCGCGCTTCACCTTGGTGCCGGCGGGAAAGCCGGGCGGCCGCTCGGGCTCCTCAGCTGCCCCGGGGCCGCCGTCACGCCTTCGCCCCAGCGCTGCGTACGCGGTGTAGATAGAGAAATAACGAACCCCACGTCTTCAAAAAGCGAGACGCGGAGCCGCCACGATCGAGCGAGCCATCTGGTCCCCACATGCCACAGAGCCGGTGTGTCGGGGGAGGGGGAGCGGCACGGCGAGGCGCAGTTGGGGTCCCGTGGGTCTCTGATGACTTGAATCCCCAGAGCCGCGAAGTAGGGGAGACGAATCCAGCACAGTTCTCCCCTCTGTCATCAACCGCCGGCTCTCCGCGGCAGACGCTTACTGTGCCAACCCCCCACCCGGGAAAGCTGGTGTCTACTCGCCGTCGCCCCAAAGTCGAGCTAGAGCTTCTTTATCCGTGTGGTTTAGGTGACCTGCTTTTCTGCACAGTGTGAGGCGGGGCCGACCGGACTGCCTTCATCCAGAATCACATTAATTCCAATAATAGTTTATGTTCGTATTTTCATCCGGCCGCCACGTCTTTCTTTTTAGTTTTTGGAAACAAGCTTGTTTCCCTTCGTAACATACCTGTTCTTTGAATCTCTGAACTTCAGACTCCTTCTCAGATTGTTTTGTCCAATAAATGTGATTATCCGAAACTTGCTTTTTTTTATTTTTTATTTTTGAGAGGGTCTCAACCCAGATTCTTGAACTGTTATGTAATGGCTGACTTTGAACCTCTGATCCTCCTACGTCACCTCCTGAGTGCTGGGATTTTATACATGCACCACAGTGTGTCTATTTAACCAAACAAGACTTTAGAAAGAGGTTTTAATCCTTCACATGTGAACTGTAATTGTCATTCTAAACACTGAAATGACGAGCTATTTTGGTGAAACTGTAAATAGATCAGTGTAACTAGTTTTCCCAAGTGACAGTGCTTCATGTGTAATTTTGGAAGTGTGAAATTGTAGTCACAGTGTATCTGTTTGTAAAATATGAATAAATTTTTAAACGTATAAATACAGAGGAACTTTTAGTCTTTTTACTTTTACATTGTGCCCGAAAGTTAATGAAATTTCCCTATTCTGAAAATTTAACATGCTCCAACACCAAAGAGGATAGACTTTATTCTGGTTTCTACAGAGGTAAATAACTAAATGCTCACCCAGTCTTGCTTAGAATATAGCATGTTATCAACAAATATTAAGAATCCTGACCAAATCTTTTCTAATATAATCATTTTTCATTTTCTTTCTCTTAATATCACCCGAATAAATATTGGGCCATAAAATTGAGTCAGGTTATTGCTGAAGGTAGGCAGTCTGCTGGGATGCTCTCAAATGCCCTGTCCCATTTAGATAGACTTCTTTAAATAATTTTTAAAAATGTGTGTGTGTGTGTGTGTGTGTGTGAGAGAGAGAGAGAGAGAGAGAGAGAGAGAGAGAGAGAGAGAGAGAG